GTGTGTGTGTGTGTGTGTGTGTGTGTGTGTGTGTGTGTCAGTAGGTTTGTTGTGTTTAGTGCATTGACACTAGGGCTGTGCATCACCAGCAAAGTCACGATACGATACAGAGGCCACGATACGATACATGACCGCACTGAATTTCACCTCAGCAGAATTTAGTAAAACAGCTGTTTATTAAACACTGCACACTATAGTGCCATTTCTAACTACAGGCAGAGCAGCAGCTGACCTCTGCATTATGAAGGGCCTCCAGAACTGTACCACAGTACAATAAAGGCATGTGTTTCATGTTTACATTGTGCACTCCCCACCAGGTACAATATTCTGATTGTTTGCATCTTGTTTTTAAGCCCATAAATAATAATGTACTCGTTCTAATAAATTTATATTGTAATGCACTCATTCTAATATGTTTAAAAAAATCATTTACATTGCTGGTAGGTTATCATTGCACAAATTAACACTCTCTGTACAATAAAAAAAAAATTTTTTTTAGAAGAGTTCTAAACTAACGAGTCTTCACTGTATCTAACGCACACACGCTCGAGGCTGATTTATATTCGAGCGTCCGCAAGTTCGCTTTGAGTGCGCGCGACGTCGTTTCGCGTGGCGGTGTGCACAACATTTTTTTTAAGTTTCCGTGCAGCTCCGCTTCCAAAGATGCACGAGTTCAGAGCGACTCTAGCCGAACATGCACGTCTGTGCCAGCATTTGTGTGAAACAGAAGCAGTTTGATGTTAAGTGCAGTCACTCACACAGATCACGCTGCGGCCGAACTCGGACATCCAGGAACAAACTTTTTAGCGCTACCCCTCAGTTTTATCAACTAATTGGCTTAATCGCTCACGAGCTACATTATTTTTCTCAACAAGGAGCTGGTAGCATCATTGTTTCTAAAGGAATTAAAGCCACAGCTTTACTGTTAATAGAGAAACACGGCAAAACGGTGGTAATTCATACATACACAGCCGCTCTCTCGATCTCTCTCTCGCTCTCTCTCTCTCGCTCTCTCTCTCTCGCTCGATCTCTCTCTCGCTCGATCTCTCTCGCTCGATCTCTCTCGCTCGATCTCTCTCGCTCGATCTCTCTCGATCTCTCTCTCGCTCTCTCGATCTCTCGCTCGCTCTCTCGATCTCTCGCTCGCTCTCTCGATCTCTCGCTCGCTCTCTCGATCGCTCGCTCGATCGCTCTCTCGATCGCTCGCTCGCTCGCTCTCTCGATCTCTCTCTCGCTCGCTCTCTCGATCTC